GTGCAGCATTATAGAATATGGCACACTCAAACAATTTTTAATTATTTAGTTAAACGTAAGTTAGAATATAAGCCTCATGAATCTATGTAGTATCATATCAACTTATCTAGTCTGAAAAATAAACATAATATATTCACATGAAATATTCATCATGCCGCACAGCGCAACAGAGCCTGAGCATGATTGGGTCATGCTAATTTTCAACAATGAAATCCGCGGAAATTTTTAGAGACTGTCACTTTCTTAAACATCTCAAGTATGTGGATGATATTGTATTGTTATTTTACAGATAGAAACATACGCAATACATATTTAACGAAGACATATTTAAAGCCAACGCATGTCATATTTCTTTCAAGATATCAGTAATTTATTTATTTGACGAAGGGTTCATAAGCAATGTTTATGATCGCATTCAGAAAGCTGGTACAGCATTTAACGAGCTAATAGTATATGTATCGAAATATTTATAAAATGTATTATATACAGTCAGAATTCCATAATTCGAACTTCTATAACTCGAATTTTCTAAAACTCGAAAAAAAAACAGTGCACCAAGATTTTAGAGAGCAAATTACATACAATTCTGCTTCCATAACTCGAAATTCTATAACTCGAACAAACATTTTGTTTCGTGCTGATAGGAATATGGGAAAGTGCATTCTATAAGTCGAAGAATGTCGAAGAAGGTTTGAAAAAAGGGATTTCTCCTTTTTGTTTAATTTTTTCTTTCTTATGTTGTTTCTTTGTGCAAATGCCAGACGCTGGCAACGTGGTTTAAAGTAAATAAAATAACTTTCAATGCTATTCTTAACAATTATATTGAGCTTGACAATGAAATTTGTACATCAAGCATTTCTACAGTTGACGACATTATTGAGCACTATAGCTCTAAATTACTGGATCCAATTCTAAGGGCAACGGTGATGATGAGGCTTCGGTGAATGTAAATGTTCTTCCAAGAATGAAGTAGAATACTCATTTAAAATTCTGAATTTATATTTGCAAACGAATGATACTACAACTGATGATCACTATAAGAGTTTGAATAAAGTGAAATCTCTTTTTATTGAATATAAGAAAAAAATTATAGTCCCAAATCCTAATTTCTGAATATTTTACTTTACTATAACTTCTATGCTTTATGTGATTGCAAATAAATAATTACCTTGAAATGTGATTTTAACTTCTTTCAAAAATAAAAAAAAAAAATTAAAATTCTCTAACTCGAAGTTTCCATAAGTCGAACCTTTTCTTTGCAAAATTGGACTTCGAGTTATGGAAGTTTGACTGTATATAAAAATATGTATTATATAATATAATAAATATGTCATAAGAAATTGGAAAACAAAATCAAAAAACAGAGAGGAATGGAAAACTGTTGTTAAACAGGTTTAGGTCCTAAATGGACTATATAGTCACGGATGATAATATATATTTAGTATATATCAATATTATATAATTTACATATAAAATTTATATATATATAAGAATATTATTATTTTTATTATCTATATCAAGTCAATACTTTTTTACGAATAAGAAATTTAGTGAATCACAAATGTGATTAAATAAAAATATTTCTCTTCATAACAGACCATATGGTAATGAAGCCCATATTCCACAAAGAACTGTGACGATGATCGACTCAAACCACATCTTTACTGAGAAGAAAAACTCAAAATACATATTCATATGCAAGATTGTAATCGATTATAATCGAAATTATATTTTTATATAAACAAATTAATATATTATTATTAATATATAGTAATTACATATTTTTATAAAAAATAAATTTAGTCAGGGTAGAGTGTGATGTACTAAAAATTTTGGTAAAACTTTTCTTAAGAGATATGAGTAAAATAACCTGATATAAGATTTTAACAAATTTTCTTAATCAGATTTTTCGGTTAATGTTTTTTTATTTGTCATCGTTTTTATGTCCGAAAGTCAAATTAAACTTACGACTTGTATCAATGATTTTTACTTAAACTTTAAAAACTAAAGTGTAGATTTCAAGTACATATTTTGAAAATAAACATTTCCTTTCCATAATATTTTGCCATTTAAAAAAGACCAAAATACAAATAGATCTTTACTTATAAATGAATGACGAATATACCGCCATTATTCCTAAGATCTATACGGACAGATAAAACAGGACGAAGTCTTCAATCTCTACCGATTATGGTAATGAAAAAGAATTGTTTTGTTTACATAATTTCTTTATGTGACTGTTGACGCCCAAATAAGTTTACCACTGATTTCTCTTACTTGATTGGATTTTTATCCAATTATGTAGTAATAAACCTTATACCTTAGATATCGCTGATTATTATATTATACATGATTCTCAACAAAAAGGAAGCCACATGTTTTATATATAAATAATATGAAATCATTATCATCTTGTAAGAATGTGCTTAAAAAGAAATAATAAAAATATTTTTTAGAAGTGACACAAATCCTAAGTATAACTTCTTTAATAGTTTTGAATATATTTAGAACATTTTAATATGTTTTTGTAAAGTTCTAATAGAATTTTTCATCAATCATACATCGTTCAATCGGTATCTGAAGTGATTTCAACAATCTAGCAAAAATTTCCTACAATAATGAATCAGTTTCTATTACATTATATTTAACACCTTCAGAGATAACACCAATTGCCATTTTTAATAATAGGCGCAGTCCTGTTTAAGTCGTTATCTTGATCCTCACTAATTTCACCTTCGTGTGGATCTCTTGAGATTGAATTTTTTCGATAAATAATATTTTTTGCACCATCCTTCTGCATTCTGATATAAGGCATATAGATTTTATAGCTAAAATTTGTTAAATTAATGAATCAGTTTCTATTACATTATATTTAACACCTTTAGAGATAAGACCAAATGTTATTTTTAATAATAGAGGAGATTATGTGTTTAAGTCGCTATCTAAATGCTTATTAATTTCACCATCGTGCGGATCTCTTAAGAATGAATTTTCATATATATTTTTTGAGGCATCTTTCTGCATTCTGATATAAGATACATAGATTTTTTATTTATTGCATCGAAAGCCTTTCCGAAGTCAATACAGCACAAATAAAGTGATAATTTCAATATAACAGAATCAATCTGTTTTACAAATGATATACAGTCAAACTTCTATAACTCAAAGAACCATTTTGCAAAGAAAATGTTCGATTTATGAAGACTTTAAGTTAAAGAAATATGTAATTATAGTCAAACTTTCATAACTCAAACTTCTATAACACGAATTTCCTATAATGTAAACTAAAAACAGTGCAACAAGGTTTTAGAACTTCATAACTCGAACTTCTCTATAACTCGAATAAAAATATTGTCAGGTGCCAATTGGAATATGGCAAAGTGCCTTTTATAAGTCCAATTTTTGTTTTAAGTATGAATCCATTTTGGTGTTAGGGGAAGTACATTTGCCAAACCCAATTTTTAAAGTCAGGCATTTCTTCCGTCGAATATGACCTCTAAATTGCAACCACTTGATCTGGGAGTAATTCAAAATTCAAAGAATTGCAACAGAATCGTAAAAGAAGTATTTATGTGCATAAAAGTATGGATTGCATAAATCATCTAACGGAAACTTGAGATATTGATGTAAGCAGTCAAACGATAATGCACTGCTTTAAAAAACTGGATGCGACCAATTTTCTACATGAGACGAACAGGACGACATTCCTTTAGTTTTCTTGAATAACATTGATGAAGACCGTAAATTGATGTAGAAGTAAAGTAAAGTAAAAGTAAATTAAATAATAACTTCCATTGATACTCTTAACGATTATATTCCTACAAATGACGATAATATTGAGCATTATAGCTCTGAATTAGTGGATCTAAATCTAAGCGTAGCGGAAAGTGATGATAAGGGTTCAGTGGATGAAATTGTTCATCAGCATTCCAAGAATGAAATAGAAGACTAATTCAGAATTCAGAATTTTTATTTGCAAACAAATGATACTATAACTGATGATCACTATAAAGCTTTGAATAAATTGGAATCTCTTTTTACTGAAAATAAGAGAAAAAAAATTTAAATTCTAAATCCTGATTTCTGAATATTTTATTTGACTTTATCTCCTGTGCTGTTTTTGATTTCAAATAAATAAATAAATATCTTGAAATGTAATTCTAGTTTCATTCAAAAATAAAAAAATTCTCTAACCCGAAGTCTCCATAATTCGAACATTTTCTTTGTAAAATGATACTTCGAGTTATGGAAGTTTGACTGTATATGTAATTGTAAGTCTAAACCCTGTTGTACTTTATTAAGTTCGAGTTATAGAAAAGTCGAGTTATAGAGTTTCGAGTTATGGAAGTTTGACTATATTTGGAAGAAATATTACTTAGATTTTGTTAGTAAATTTATTTATAAACCCTCTCTCTCTCTACTTTTACAATAAAGTGTTATTTGCTGTTATAAAAACAGTAAAATATTTAAAAGTTGATTAAAGTATATCTCAATTTAACTATTAGCCCTATACATTAATTTCATCTTTGAACCAATTTATCTTATGTGTATAATATACTTTATATACAAAACGTATGCTGTTTTTCTACGTTATTTACTATTTAAACACATATTGAAACTGATATTATTATTTAGTGGTCGTAAACATTATTTTTATCTATCAACAAACTCCTTAAAATTAGTTAAGTAGTTATAAATTTACATATATAAACAAATATTCACTTTTTAAAATTCATAATGATAGAGAGCTCAAATAACCTTAATATGACTAAGATGACTCAGAATATATTAATATTAACACTTGAATATAAAGTGTTAAACAACATAAAATGTTATATAAAATGTTATTTGCTCTGTTACAGGAAGTTCAAAGTTGCAATTCGTGTATACATACATTTGTGAGACCATAGCGAAACCCTTGAAGGTACACCTCTGGTTTTTTATTAAACAAAATTGTGTCGTACGCGATTTGTTATAAGCTTAACTTTAAAACAGAATTTCAGTTGTTGTTTAACCGTGGCACGATGATTACTGAAGCTTAAAACCAAAACAATTTCGGCTTTAATCGATTAATGTTTGTGATTATTTGGAGATATTAGCAAAAAATTTAAATAATTGAAATTCTTATTCGGCTTATGGCAAATAATTTTAGAAAATGGAAATACAATGAATATATAATATATTTTGTATAGTTAAAAATAAATCTAATTATTGTGTATTTATAAAATCATTAAATCATTAATTTAAATTAATTAAATAACATAATTTCACCAACCAAAAATTGGACATAAAAAAGCTTACAGTTCATGTCTCTGGATTACAAAAACAAAAATTTTCCGTCAAATAAATCATGCCAAACAGGTCTTAATATTTACAAGAGCTCCAAAAAAACAATAAAAACAATAAATAAAAAAAACTGACATTAGCCGAAATCAAATTAAATGCACAGAAATGTTTAACAGTTTTGTAAAAGCAAAAAAAAAAAAAATGGTGAATGACTTTGAGTGTTTGTAAAAATTGACTGTGCTGAGTAAATGTTATGACAGCAACGGCGGAAATGTTAAATATAAAAAATATGAATATTTTAAAATTTTAATACATATGATTTAAAAGTTAATTTTCTTTTTTAAATCTTGTAATTTTTTATAATCTTACGTGATTTTATTTCTAATATTTATTAACATCATTTAAAACTATTTAAACAAAACTCGTGATTTTTACAAACACGTCTTAAATATTGTTAGAGCAAATTTAAACTATTGACATAAATAAAAAAAAAGCTTATTATAATTATTATTATATTTATGATTGTTTATATCTTCAAAAAAAAAATATTGTTTAAGGACTTAGTCTATCTGCACAAGATTTCCACCTATCGCGATGTTTAGCAATGTATTTTAATTCATTGAAAGATTTTTGGATTTATTTGTTAATGCATCTGCGACAAGTCATTTTGGGCCGATCTTTGCTTCTTACTCCTTTCTAGCATTCTATTGTAAGGATGAATTTACTATTTAGTCTATACTATTTGAATTTGGCATTATTTCTTTCTCGATCGGTTTTTGATTATTCATTTGACATAAATGTCCATTGGACATAGTACGCGGCCACCAAATGCCAACAATGCTTCTTGTTAGATACCATTTTTTAAAAAAGAATCGCAATTTCGAACTTTTGTTTCTTTTTTAAGTGCACTATTCAACAGCACTCGTGACAATCCGGCAAACGCACCCGTTGCTTTAGATTATCTGCCTTGAATAATAGCTATTGTGGCATCATCAGGCGTCAAGCCTTACCTGTTATTTTAAGTAGCATTCTTTGCCTGTAATGGCCTAACACTACGGTACTCAAAAGCACACGTCTCAATGCAAAGCGTCAAGCAACGCCCCAATGGAATCGCATTGGTGATTCCGCCGGTACCAATGAAGATAGTGTGTAAAATCAAATCTTCCATCTTGGTACAATGTGAGAACTATCTAAATTCTTCACTACAATATGGGCTGTAGCTCCCGATTTTGAATACGCATCTCCACGCCGAATGGGAACCAAAATTTAATATTCTTCCCGCGTGAATTTGGGTATTAACCACAGCCACTACGTATCCAACCTCATATGGTCAGAACAGCAGAAGCTGTGGGCAATCTGACCCCCGTAGTACCAGAAATCCTCTGGTCAGGAGTCGTGAGTATGTTAAGCTCACTGCCATGTACACTTTTTACACAAGTGTCGGATTGGCTCCGGAATTTTAGTCGCCTTTTACGACAAGCATATCTACTGCGGAAGAATTCTGTTCCCACATTCTGCAGGGGAAGACCATCAAGCGTCAGGATGCTACTGAGATATTCGAACTCTTGTACATCATCTGTGGCTTTTCGAAATACTGTGTTTCGAAACTGTGTGTGTGTGTTAACTTTTTGGCCAGACCGTTTCAGACTTTTTTCAGACCGTCGTTTGTTAAGTTTGAAAACCTATTCAGCATTTCATTGTGTTTATTACTGATTAAAGCAACGTCATCAGCTTATGAACGGTAGCCTAATGATGTATAAAAAAATATCGTAAAAATTTTATTTATCTTGAATTAGTTAATGGTTGATTATTGCAAGATTATCTCATGAGTGATTTACGACTGAACGCAACTTCCAAACGTAGTAGTTTTGATTACTTTATATAAATCCTCTTATTTTTAAAAATTCGGCAATGCTGACAATTACTTATTACAATAAATCAGTAACAACCAATTCTTTTATGTATAATATTTAGTACTATTGTTATACAATAATATTTTTACCAGGTTCAAAAATGCTGTCAATGTTGTTTTTGTTTGTCTTTCAATTACTTATAGCATATCTTCAGGTCTATATTATAGTACATATGTTATATGTTTTTTAAACATTTTAAATAATACTAATAATATTAATAATATTAGACTTTTATATACAATCCAACGATGATCGTTTTTAATATAAATAATTAATTTGTTGAATGTAAACCATCTATTCATCATCTTCACGTGAGCATTGTTTATAAAGAGGGTTCCCATCGTTGCCGTTTACTGTTTTTTAAAATATAATTCGTGGCTAGTTTTTTGCCACAATTTATATGTACTTATTAAAAAAAATAAGTTTATATAAAAATTTATATAAAAATACTTAACTTTCTGTTTCAAATGAACAATTTTTTAAATTTAAGGAACGAAATCCTATTTTTCTATAAAAAGCATTTAAGCAGTATACCAATTAACATCTGCCAAAAACCGAACCAAACTTTATGACCCTTTGTTTCAGAATTGCTACTGTAATAATTGTTATTGCCATCGTAAAAGTAAAAGCCTCTTAAAGTATTATCTTGTAGGTGATAGAAAGTATTAAGAACCTTTCTATCAGATTCATTGTCATAGATGAACACTACTGCTTTGTTTTTGATACTGCCAAATATTTTAATAATATTAAGTTCATTTTTAATATGGTTTAAAATGAAGAGATAATTGTAATATGAATTTAATGATTATCAAACCACAAAAAAATCTAAACTAACTCGAATGAACAATTTTTCTTATTAATTGTTACTATATTATTACTTAAAAAATTACAAATGAATTTTAAAATAAAACTATATGAATTTGTATCTGAAGCATATTGATTTGGCTTTTACTCTTCTGGATTGGCTACTTGAACTGCTTTCTTATGATGTACGCATCTACATATATTTTATTCGTGCTAAATCTGGATAAGCAAGAACTGATTACAGATTTTGTTCATTGGTTTAACATAATGTTTGATGCCTTAATGCCATATTCGAGTGTACTAGAAAATTTTTTTTTAATAATTATTAGATGTATTTATTATACATAAAATTTTTTTTCATTTATTACAATTCGCATTAAGAAAACTTTACATTCCAGCACAAATCTTAATGAGCTAAGTACGTTAATATTGGTAGTGGGAATAAATTTTATTTTATTTTAGTGATGGGAAAAAATTGATTTAATAAAAAACAATAAACAATAAATAATTAAATATTTAATTAATTCATAAACGGATAATTTGCGAAGTTTCTTTACCCTTTTACCCCTTATATTTATATTAAGGGTGGAGACGTTGGGGCAACAGAAATGAAGCGGTGCCAGATCCAAGTTAAAAAAAAGTTTTCCACTAAATGTTTTTACTTTTAATCACAATAAAACTATAACGCAAGATAAATTCCTATCATTTTGACCACGAATTAATAAAATCGATAGATTAAAATTGATAGATTATATCTCGTAGTAGAATTTTATTCTATACGTAATAAAGTATTCATTTGCAATTTGGTATATCACTCATGTATTCATATGATAATTTTGTAATTTTCATTTAAATCGATTCAAATGTGGATGTAGCTGTTATGCCAACACATTTTCATTGAGGGATTATGTACTCTAACTTATGCTCGCACCTTCTATGCTATTTTCTATGCTATAAGCTAATGATTCCTACACATGTTGTATGTATCTAATATGTATTTTTCGATGTATTTTCTTTTGAAATTTAGCATTTAAACATATGTATTATTATTGTATTACTCTTCGCCCTATGCTCTTACTAAGAGTGGTGTATTTACCCAAAGTATAATACATAAAATAATAATAATTGTAATAATTGTAATAATAATAAATAATAATATTATTGTATTATATGTTGCGGCTAAATTTTAAATACACAATAGTTTCCTTACTAGTTTAGATATATGTCTATATTTCATATATTGATAATCGTACATCATACATATCAAACTGTTCCAAAGTTGTATTTTGACGATAACCCTTTCTACTTTATGTATTTCTATAAGTATCAATTCATAGATCTTTATTTATATTTACCATTCTTTTAAACCATGGATTGTTGAAGATATTATTCAGTACTATATTCTGGCAATTTGTAATTATTCAAATTTATTTATGATACATCTAATTATTCTATCAAAATTACGCAACCATACAGCAGAGAAGGTTTGATTTGTACATTAGTTTGATATTAAATCACTGCTATCGGTAGAGAATGAAGTAATTTGAGTGTTCGGACGCATTTTGGTGTGCTTTCCATCTAAAATAAATGCTATAAACAGCACTAAACATTATAATTAGTATTGAGTCTTCTGATTATGAAATAAGTAACACAGTCTGAATCAAGTAGAAGGTATGTAAGGTATTTTTCACTGATATCTTCTGATAGTGATTGGTAAATACTTCTAATGACAGTTAGAAATTAAAATTAAAAAAATGTATTAAATGTCTATGGACCCTATGCTTCACAGGGAGAAGAGGACTACAGTAAGTAAGTAAGTGAATGTCCGAATTTAAATCAAAGTTCGAAAGTTCTGCTTTCAATCTGTACTATATTTTTTCAGTATTTAGTATTAGTTTTCAAAGTGATGAGACCGGAAGTTGGTCAATTAAAACTTTTATTGAATATTCATCATTACTGCATTCCAAACATTTTACTATGGGAAATTTTATTTATATTTTTTATTTTCTCAACCTAATGCTCTTTGTTTGTTGTTTCAAGTTGTAAACTATTTATACTTAAAAGTAATTACCTACAGCTTTTCTGTAGTGTATCGTAATTAATTCATGCGTAATTTCTTGAAGCTAAGCCACTTTTATTTATTTTTTAACTATCAAATTGCATAAATTTTTATTATTTTGTTAGAGTGATTTTATGTGCAAAACAATGGCTTGTAGTCATAAAGAGGAAGCTAAAGAGCGTGACAAATTTTTAATAATTATTATATTTAGTTACTTACATAGCTGCATATTTACTTACACAAGCACCTAAATAAAATCTAATCGGTTATTGTTGTGTTTATGGTATGTTGGTTGGTTTTTTTTTCTTTTTTAACTGGACATATTATAATTTTTTCTTGGTAACTGAACAACCTGTACAGAAATTGTTTGAAGATTCACGTGTTTTGTTTAATATAGAATTCTGTTTAATTGAGTTTTCAAATTTCAGTTTAAACTTAACAATTTAAAAAAATGCTACCGAGTATAATTTATTAGTCAATTTGTTTAACCCTAGTTCACATATAAATGTAAACTGCGATGGCAGATACTCACAGAACGCTTAATAGGTAACACAACCAACACAATAAGTTGCTTACAATTCAAAAGAGTTAATTAAAAAAATTAGCTGCTTTTTTTATTTATAATTAAATCAATTATTTATCTAATTTTTTAATTTGTGATATTTTAGATCCGTCAATGATCGTCCATTGTTTATGCAAAACAGGCACAGATGTTCGATTAGCGACACACAGGAAATTAGTGAATTTCGTCGGGCTCTGCCGCAGTTTTTAGCCGTTAGTGTAAAAAATATTTTACTATTTGGTAATTGTCACTAATATATAATAATAAAACCACTTGCGCTTATTACTTATATTATTAATTATATTTTTTGTTCTGTTTAGTCTATGGTATGACACTTGGTTTTCCAACAATTGTTATACCAGCCATACAAGGTGGCGATGGTCGTGAGCCTAGTGATATAGTATTAAATAGGGATCAAATATCATGGTTTAGTATGTAACTTGTTTAAGTATTGCACTGAATTTTCAAAATGATTAAGTCCCTATATTTTGACAGGTTCTATAAACTTAATATGTGTGCCTTTGGGTTGTCTATTTTCAGGCGCGTTGACACAGCCATTTGGAAAGCGTAAAGCTATGCAGGTAAGCTATTAAAAGTGCTTAAGTATGTTTGATAAATTTGTAATATGTATAATTTTGTTATTAATTTTTTGAGTTGTTACGTCGAAATTTTTATTAAAATCTGTTTTGTTTTTTAAGAATGTTAACTTTTATTTCGTGCGTTATTTTTTAGTATAATTCTATACGTATTTCGGCAAATTCGCTTTTGCCTTCATCAGGAGGATTCCTAATATTAAAAACATCTATGCAACTTACAAGCTATTTATACTTATTACAGGTCTTATAATTTAAATCTAATTGGTAGGGTTATTGTTGTTTTTGTCCTTGAGGATGTTAGGTAAAAAATGGTGGGATGGGTTAGTTTTTACCTAACACCCTCAAGGACAAAAACAACAATAACCCTACCAATTAGATTTAAATTATAAGACCTGTAATAAGTATAAATAGCTTGTAAGTTGCATAGATGTTTTTAATATTAGGAATCCTCCTGATGAAGGCAAAAGCGAATTTGCCGAAATACGTATAGAATTATACTAAAAAATAACGCACGAAATAAAAGTTAACATTCTTAAAAAACAAAACAGATTGTAATATGTAGTTATTAGTAACTAAATATGAAAGTTAGGAGCAGACAAAATCATTCTAAATAGTATCAACTAGATATATAGCTTTAGTGAAATAACAATTTTATTATCTATTATCAAACTATTATCCATTATTATAGTATTATTCCGGAGCTACTCATATTATCAACTGGATATATAGCTTCAGTGAAATAAAAATTTTATCTATTATCTTTTATTAAGCTATTATCTATTATTATAGTAGTATTCCGCAGCTACACATATTTCCAAATTACCAATTGCTGATGATCACCTATTTCAAGACGGATCAGAATTTTCGATAAGATTACAACTATAAATGTCAAATAATTAGACTTTAGCATAATATATATATTTATATATATACACTTCTTCATGTAACACTAAAGTCACTGAAGCAGTCTAGTCTAGTTATTTATTCTCTATGCCATTCGAGGTTATTTCACTTTTAAAAATGTCTAGCATTTTTTTTTCGAAATATCAAACTTATATATAAACTTCGGTCAAGATATAAAATTTAAACACCCATGGCTAGACATTTCACTTTTAAAAATGTCTAGCATTTTTTTTTTTCGAAATATCAAACTTATATATAAACTTCGGTCAAGATATAAAATTTAAACACCCATGGCTAGGGCTCCCATTATATGTTAGAACAAGATAATTAGTTTGAAAAGCGGAAACTGTCTAACTTATTTAGATAGTGGTCTTCAAACGAAAATTATTGCTAATTTTAAGACTATAGATTACTAGAACTTCAAAAATATTTCTAATATTGCTACTTTTAAGACTATAGATTACTAGAACTTCAAAAATATTTCCAATAAAAATATATTCGTTATATCATCTAGTCAAACCGATTTGTAACTTTAAAGCACAGTCCAGTATACGTCTAAAACGTTGTTAAACTATTATATATATCCTTGGTTCATACCTCCTTGTAGCCTCAGAAACTAGAAGCTAAACAAACTTTGTGAAAGGCTCCAAATAGTTTTCCATAAACTGTTTGTTTATGGAGTTACTGTTGACAACACCAGGATCTCAAATTTTTGTGGTGTAGAAGACAGCAGTGTGAAAATACTGCAGAAAACTTATGTTTCATGTATTAAACTGACACCTATGAAGACCATGATTTAATAGCTTCAATATCAAATTTGAACTCATTTAGAATTAATTAATTGCGATCATTTTATTAATTTATATCGACCATAAACTGATGATCCTTGGGTTCTAATCGAACAAAATAGTATCGTTATAATTATTTATAAAATTATTTAATGTATACATATATAAACTTTATTTATTACATCTTTATTTATTCTTAACAGATTGTCAATTTACCAATCTTAGCATCGTGGCTCCTTTTTCATTTTGCGACTAGGACAGAACACTTGTATGCAGCTTTGTGTTTAAGTGGTCTTGGAGGAGGTCTAATGGAAGCCGCAGTAAGTTTTCATTAATATATTCTAATACAACAGGAATATTGGATGATTTTTATGTCTATTCATTTTTTTGATAATTTTTGAATACAATGAAAGTTAAAAAGATGAAACACTGAGCACAAAAAAACAAAAAATTTTTTATTTCATTAAAAACTGAGAGTGTAATAATTTGTGACGCACGAACCCTGCAAGGCCAAAAACAATTTTTTGATTAAACATTTCGTTCAAAGCAGCTTGTTAAGGAAAGGCAACTTGATCAGAGCAGACAATAAGACCACGTATAATCCCATGTATCTACAATGCTGTAACAAAATTTATACTAGTGTATGATACAAAGTAGAGTGATAAATAATAGTATATATAAAGCATTCGAATATAAACTCCATATAATGATAGCTTTATTGGCAAAAGTTCCATCCTAGATGAATAGATTTTCAGTTCTTCTTTAACATATGTCGATTGCGTAACCCTCAATTCTGAAGTATGATAGAAATATTACTACTAACAGCCTATCCGGCCTAACCGGATGTATATACATTAGTCTAATTGTTGAGTGCTGGCTAACATGTCAGCGTACGAACAACGTTGAAACGCACGATTCCCAATTTAAATTAAAGTGAACCAACCTTACAAATCTATAAACTATAATCTAACTCCTCTATAAAAATAGGGACATAATTTTACAGGATGACAGCTCTGTCAGCTCGTGAAGAAAAGGAGCCCCCAAGATTTTAAATCTTATCTTATCCAATAATGGACACTGACACATGAAGTAGAGTACAATTTCCTCTTTATTCTAATCTCGTAGCAAGTTTACCTATTACGCAGTGATCCATTAGCATGGATACCGTAGTGTTAAGCAGGTTGCACCTTACATGAGCTGCTGACTGGTACGTTTCTTGCCTAATTTAAATTACGTCGATTTTAAGATCTGATAGGTATGCTCAGGTGTTTTTGTTTGATTGGCAGCTTGGCCGTTGCAATATCTGAAAACTAAATGTTAGAGGACATTGTGATTTGGTAAACTCATCTGCCATGTAGTTGTCAGAAAAGTTCCCGTGACCAGGTACCCATGTGAATAGGACACTGACTCCTAAGTAGCTCGTTAGGACAAGCCCTGCGGTATTGAATAGTTAAGGACGTAGCTGTCTGAAAAGATAACGATGCTTGCTGTTTCATGCAACTTTATCACCTAGCATAATAACCGGGGTGCTCAGCGACGGGGTGATTCTATTTGTGTTCGCACAGAATAAGGATGGGCTCTCTTTCATGCCAAAGGTACCAGAGATTAACAAACGATCGTTTTATCTTCATGGTAACGAAGGCAGAACGTACTCTGAGGACTGCTATAGTTTTAATGGGACGTACGTGGATATTTATATACTTAGCCTGGATATCTACATATTTTACCCCAGTGCTACTCTGGTGTTCCAAAAGACAGCTAGTTCCGAGAAAGTTTAACCGCCAGCCCCAGCTGTCAAAATCGTAATGGGTTGATTGGTGCTAGTCCGAGGGCGAACCCGGTCGTTGCTGAAAAGATGCTGAAACTGACAGCTCCGATAAAGCATTAAGTGGCGATCTAAGCTGTATCCTATCTTTTGGGTAACTGTGCTAATTAAAGTGCAAAAAAAAATGCAAATAAAGGTAAACAATCCGTGCAGCCATAAAAATTTAACAAAAAGCTAAATACAGATAAAAATTCGTACAGTGCAATCATTTATTCTAATTAAATTTTTTAAATACACTTAATACTCAACAACAACAAGATTTTAATGCTATATTAAAATACATGGAACTAAGTTTTTAAGGTAAAATATATATATGAAATTAATTGGTCTTGAATTCAGTTGTGATTACCCAATGATCATATAAGGGGAATCATAAGTGATCAGTCTTTAAATTATTCACAGGCTTTAGAAAAACTCTTCAGTTTAACATAAAGTTTAACTTTTTCATTAAATAATAATAATAATACTTATATTAGTTGCATTTAAACTGGAATTCAATAGTTTATGTCCACTAGAAAGCTATATCCCAACCGCAAATATTAAAAATTTTACTTTTTGTATTTTTAGGTTCTAACCTATGTTGCTGAAATAACAGAACCTAAATATCGTGGTATCTTATCGGCGCTTGGGTCAACTTGTGTTATCTTAGGTGTTTTCATACAATTCATAATGGGCTCATTTATGGATTGGCGCACAATAGCGGCAGTAAGCTCGGCTTTCCCAGTAATCTGTATAGTTGCACTATGCTTTATACCTGAGAGCCCTACTTGGCTTATACGAGAGCAACGTTTTCGTGAAGCTGTGAAATCTTTGCAATGGTTACGTGGTTGGGTGTCAGAACATAAAATTGAATCAGAATTTAATCGATTATATGATGAGCTGATTACACAGCCAGCTTTTGAAGAAGCTGAGGAAAATGGACCAGTCAAACCCACTAAATGTGCAAGTCGGATTAGAATGTTTCGTAAACGTTCGTTTCTTGTGCCATTTTTGTTAGTTGCATTCACGTTTTTTACAGGGCACTTTTCTGGCAAAACACCATTGCAAACATATGCAGTACAGGTAAGAACTTTTGTATGCATTACAGGGGCTTATAAGGACATTTCATGCATTAATTGTGTTGTTTTCAGATTTTTCACACTTTAAAAGCACCGATCAACAAATATCACGCTACAATACTGTTAGGTGTGGCCGAATTAATAGCAACAGTTCTCTGTGTATTTCTAATACACTTTACTGGGAAGCGTCCTTTAGTTTTGATATCGACAATTGGTGTGGGTTTTTGTTTTTTTGGTACTGCTACTTATGCGCATTATTTAAAAATTGTACCAGGCTTTGCTGTGAATAACGTTGTTATTAATGCTTCATCCATTGTTGCTAAAGAAAATATTATCTCCGGTGACAACATAACTCAAATATTTGAAAAAGAAGAGAAAGCTTTGTTACTTGCAACTAAATCATTAGAAGCACCTAATTCGAAGTATGATCAAAGCAATTCTACTGATACAGTTGAAGACTTTACAACCATTCTACCTGTTATCGAATACAATCGCACTAAACGCGAGGAAGCTGTTTTAGAAAATTACGAATTATATGGGAACGAAAGTAACAATAAAAATTTAACATTTTTGGAGCTGCCATTAGACTACGGAGAAGCTAATGACACTAACAAAAATGTTTCATATGTTTTAGATGACTTTGACTCAGGAGAAGATAATACTACAGTAAAAAATACAAGCAATTTAAAACAATTTGAAGCAGCTATTATTTCAGGCAATGCAACAAACAATAGAGCTGAGAAATTGCCTTCAACTAATGAAGTTGTTAACGAAATTCTCTTACCAGTGCCTAAACAAGAAAAGAACAGATTAGTGTGGCTTCCATTAATTCTACTTTTAGGATCAGCTTTTTTTGCGCATTGCGGAATACGTATGATACCTTGGATTCTGATTGGTGAGGTTTTCCCTGCACCGGTTAGAAGTACAGCATCAGGCTTAGTAAGCGGTGTTGGTTATATATTTGGTTTTCTTGCAAATAAACTCTTTTTACAAATGTTAACAACTCTTACTATGCCTGGCACGTTTTGGTTTTATTCTGGAGTAGCTTTTCTTGGCGCTGTCGTTCTATATTTTATTTTACCAGAAACTGAGGGTCGTACTTTAGGGGTAAGTATATATATAGTATATAATATATATTCATGGTATGAGAATATATATACTTCTATAATAAAGAAACTTTTTCTTTGTCATAAATTTGTATATAAAAAAATTAAAACTAATTTCCACTAATATTTTTAATTAACAGGAAATAGAGGCTCACTTTTCAAAAAAATCGAAAACAAATTTACTTAGCAAAGATTGGCAAAATAATAACAAGATCTCAATCACACAAATGGATAATTTACAGAACCTACAAATCGCAATGGATCGGCAGACACAGACAAAGGTCTTGCAATTGCAACAAAGTGATTTTATACCCAGCGAAGCAACAATGGGGAAAACAAACTTAGCTTACGAGGAAAATAATACGACACATCTATAATGTGGCAATAGTATTTGTTAACAAGTACACAGTATTTCAATGAGGCGTTTTTTAAAAACCTAGAGTTTTAGATAAAAATTAGGAAAACATTTATCTAAGTATGTAATAAGTAAATATAAATTAATAAATAATATTATATACAAAGGTTGTTATTGTGGCTATACATTAAGACTGAAAAGTTTTCGGAAATTCTCATTTAAAATTCGCGCGCTGTATATTTTTCGATATTTTAAGTTTATGTAGTTTGGCAGCACTGTCCTTAATTACTATGCCAAAAATGAGCGCGATCTGTCAGACAGTTCGTTTACGGCAGCTGTTGAAACCAGTTCCCCTCAGTAGTGCGTTGCGAAATGTCTTCGACGGTCGTACGACCGTCCTGAAAGGCTTTGTACCACTCATAAACTTGAGTTTTCGATAAAACTGATTCCCCATAAGCCTTTTGTAGCATTCGCAACGATTCTGCACACGAAATTTCGTTCGAAACACAAAATTTGATGCAAACTCTTTGTCCAATATTTTTTTCCATTGTTTTTTTCGCAACGCACTACTGAGGTGAACTGGTTTCAACAGCTGCCGTAAACGAACTGTCTGACAGATCGCGCTCATTTTTGGCATAGTAATTAAGGACAGTGCTGCCAAACTACATAAACTTAAAATATCGAAAAATATACAGCGCGCGAATTTTAAATGAGAATTTCCGAAAACTTTTCGGTCTTAATGTATACTTATATATATGGATAGTTTTGTTGAGTACAGATGTATACACTTTAACTTTATCTATTAAAGATTCAGGTAACAGTCATCAAATAAATTTATTAATTAACGGAAACATAGACATCTTGCCTTAACAGAAGAAATTTATAGTAGTAAAGGGTTTCCTAATGAGTTACCTACGTATTTGCTCTTATTTAAATAAAATTTGACTATATAATGTGACATAATGTTATATTTGTCTCTAAGAAGATGCTGTTTCTTGTAACATTCTATATAACTAGCAAACAAAAATATTTAAGCAATCGTAACTTGAACCTATCGCCGTGCCATTGTGAAATGGCACGATTATCTGGCATGATTATCATCATAAAGTTGGTTTTTATATACTTTTATACGATACTACTTACTACTCTTTACTATTTTATACTATTTTTATTAATCTCGCCATCCTAATTTTTCAAACTTTTTTTATAACTGTACCAATAATTTATTTTCAATTTTCCAGGCTTAAATCTCCTGATCTGACATACCTATTTCTTAAAGAATCTCAATTTTATTGGTTTAACTCGCCTTCCGTTGTCAGTTCAAAATCCACCCATATTACGTTTATCCGTTGGTTATCTTATACTTAAGCAGTGTCATTATAATTTTGTAGATAGAGCTTTAGTTTTATTAAAAAGTCCTCCAAAGTTTTTTACCGCCAATAATAATCACTCTCAATGACTGTTGTGAAATTATGGAAAAATGTTCTTCACAACAAAAATACTGACTGGAACAGTTACCGTCAACTAATTACGATTGGTCTTAATACTGAAATCCAGTTGAAAACTGAATCTGTACCTGAAGCAGTAGAGTATTCATGTATCCACTCATGTATCCAAATGTCAGCCTGGGAATCAACTTTACACTTTTCTAAAAGTGTTAAGCAAGAATATCGTTTTAACATTAGATACCTAATCAAAGAAAAGCGAAAACATTGGCAAAATATAAGATTCCCAGAGAATAAACCTCGCTTAAATAATTTATGTAAACTCGTTAAAGTCCTTCTTATAAAGTACAACAATAGTTGCACGTCCCTATACCTCCAAAACTTAAGTGCTTCATGTGATAAAAAAACTTCCTCTAGAAAGTCATAAAAAAGAATAACAGACCGATTGCTTATCAACCACTAATACGCAAAATCGACAACTCATGAGCAAGAAGCCATATCAAAAAAGCAGAAACATTCGCGCTACATTTGGACCAGGACCTTAATTCAAATGATAACCAAAATATGCCAGATTTTACGAAATAAAGAATAAATTTTCTATACGAGCCATACCAATTAGCCATACTTCCAATTGAAAGATATTCTATTAATGAAATTAGGGATCTAGTAGCGAAGTTACAAGTAAAAAAAGCTCCAGGATACGATTTGAAACTAGGGAAAAATTCAGAAGACATCAAGTCATATTGCCCAATAAGTCTACTTAATAAGTCCGATCCTGTCGAAAGTCATTGAAATCTTGTTTTTAAAGCACCTTACACCGATGATTCAACAAAACAGCCTCATTCCTGACCATCAATTTGGTTTTTGCCAAAAATATAGTACAATAGAACAAATTCATAGACTTGTCATATTTATTAATCATACCTTTCGGCAAGGCACTTTTTCATTAAGTATGGTAATGAAACTACAGTACTTTCTGATATAGTAGCAGAAGTACTTCAAGATAGCATAATGGAACCAATGCTTTATCTTCTATATACTGCGACTCTAACCCATACCAATGGGAGTGTAATGGGCACATTTGCAGACGACCCAGCTATTTAATCAGTTGACAGTGACCTAATCCGTGCTTGTACCAAACTACAAACCTGCCTTAACAATATTGCTCACTGGATGAAAAATTGACGTATTAAACCAAATGAAAAAAAGCTGTCCAGTAACATTTACTAAAAACGTTCTACGTGTCCGCCTGTTTTAATAAACAATACTCAATTACCACAATTTGTAGAAACACAATACTGGGGCATACATCTGGAAACCACACATATTCAAAAAGCGTAAAACCTTGGGTCTCGAATTACGAAACTTATTTTGGTTCCTCAGCCGAAATTCCAAACTATTACTCGACAATAAACTGCTTATAGCATTAGATCAAAAAGAACGAGAAGTTAAAAAAACACGCAAAATTTTTAATAAATTTTCTTTATTATGGCCTTCAAAGTACTCTCTTCCTGCGGCAATACATGCATGCCAACGTTTGAGCCAATTTACCATACAAGTTTTATAGGCCGCCAAAGGTATGGCCTTTAGTTCACGCAGCAAATTCTCTTTAATGGCCTCTATGGTCTGAAAACGCGTTCCTCGCAATGGCAATTTGAGTCGGGGGAAGAGGAAAAAGTCACAAGGGGCCATATCTGAAAAGTACGGTGCTTGGTTGATGATATTGGTGGAGTTTTTGGACAAAAACTGCGACACAACCAACGATGTGTAGGCCGGTGCGTTATCGTGGTGTAAAATTCATGAGTTTTCCTTCCATAAATCTGGCCTCTTTTTGCGTATGGCCTCACGCAAACGACGCATAACAGCCAAATAATAGTCCTTATTGACTTTTTGACCGTCCGGAAGGAATTCATACCACACCACAGCACGAATATCGAAGAAAACAGTCAGCATAAACTTGATTTTGGACCGATTTTGGCATTCTCTTTTCGGCTTCGGCTCACCTTCGAAATCGGTGGTGGGCATGTCAAATTCATAGACCCATGTCTCATCATCAGTTATGATGCATTCGATGAATGTGGGGTCACTATCTGCGTTGGAAATCGTCTCTTTGTCCACATCACAACGACGCTTTTTTTGAATTAAATTCAGCTAAAAATCGTCACAAGAAAATTTTTCAACTTCTTTGTACAGACGCCAAACAAAAACTAATCGTACGGTATGCGTTAAACATTGACATAATGTGTATAATAGTGTTGCCAGCGTGAAAATAAAAAAAATTGCCGTTTGGATAAGCGCGGGAATTCAGAAAAAGAACGAATAAGTTCTTTTTTGATCACAAGGTATACAAAACTGTACTAAAACCTATATGGAGTTATGGAGTCTAATTATGGGGAACTGCAGCAGACTTAAACCTGGCAGTTATCCAGTGTTTTCAATCTAAAACACTACGAATAATCATAAATGCATGGTATATAACGAATGAATAACTGCACAAACAACTATCTGTTCCGACAATCAAGGAAGAAATATCTCGAAAACATTGAAAAAATCAACGATATTGTGTTGGACGATCCAAAAATTAAATTGCGTGAGAAAGCAAAAATGACATCGAGGGTCACTTTTTATATTTTGAGTCTTTGCAGCACTGATTGTTTTATGGTGTCATCTGACGTTTCCACACGTAAGTTTGACATTATTACACATAACCTACGATAAATTTTATGTCAAAGGAGCGTTATTCGTATAACTCGTATTTGCAGTGATTTGTAAATTGAGTGTTCGCGAAAAAATTGAATTAACGTGAGAAAATTTTCGTGCGATGATTAGAACTTAGTCTATTCACAGATAGTTGTTATGATTTCTTCTTGTTCCCGAACGTTAGGAATAAATTTGGTGGATGATTTTATCGGGGGAAGGAGCCGTTGTTGCATTTAAAAAGCATGTTTTGGAGGTGTCTGAAAAAGACTGAACAATGCTTTGGCAAATGGTTCGAACGCATGCAGAAGTGTATTAATTGTAAAGGAGAACACTTCGAGAAACAATAAAGCAATTTTCAACGACAAGTTAGTATTTTTCATTATTAGGCTCAAAATATAAATAGTGACCCTCGTACCATATGATATCATCAATATCATATGTATCAAATATTTTACACGAATATATGGGTATTAAAAAATTTCGGCAAGATGGGTGCCAAAAAAGGGTGCAATTTACTTATAGTAAGTAAAAATATGCATAACAGATATCTCTACAAAGAAGATTAGCTTTGAAATAAAAATAGGCAAACTCAAAAGTTAACTTTCAATTCGTTGAACTTGTGTTTCCAAATAAAACTATAGTTTATAAGCAAGTGCTTTGGTTTAAGCGGACACTTACTACTACTTCTTAAATTTTTGACTCCTAAGTGGAGCATAGACCCTTAACAATTAACTTAAATTTAACTTTGTTACAAGTATTAACAGTGACGTCCTTCGAGGTATAATTATCCTTACGCATTTCTTCTTCAATAGTACGCCTGCATGTCCTATATGTCGTACCGGGACATCAAGAACCTTGTGAAATCCAGCGGAGAGCCTGTCTGTTTTTATTTGGTCGTCTAAGTGTATATCCGATCCAGTTCCATTTGTAGTGTTTTATCAAATACGATACTTGTGGTTGCTTGGTACGTTCTCATAA